CCCGAAGAGTTTGCTTGATCTGATATACCCGAATGGGATGGATATTTTTTCACAAATAATTATGAATTTGTAGACAGAGCAAGTAGGACCGTATCCTCAGAGACTGGGTATATTTGTCTCTTAAGAAATTTAAAGTAACGCAGGGGGTGATTTTGTAAGAACGACAACAATCAAATAAATTCGAATAAGAAAATAAAAATAAATAACTAACTAGAAATTAAACAACAATTCACTGAACTTAGAGTAACAATAATTAAAGACCTAAATCAATTAAAACAAGAAAACAATTAAAAATAAAATAAAGTAGGCAACTAAAAGTCAAATGGCAATTCACTAAAATCAAGGTAATATTAATTAAAAATCTAGCCAAGAAATAACTTCAGCAATGGTTCACCTAATTGATCATCGAAGCAAGGGCAATTCCAATTATTCATCAATAAATAGGTTATAACTACCAAACAAGCGATGACAGTCAACCCCTCTTTACTGTGTCGGTGATTAAGGTATGCCCGTTAACCACTGCTCTAATTAGGAAGTAATTCTAGGTACGCCCGTAAGATTTAATTCTCCAATTGCCTTACGTATTAGAGGAGCCCTATTCTAACCAAATAATGCACTACCAGGGTTATTTCATATTAGCCCGCGTATCCCCCTGACATGAATCTAATCGTGTCAGTTGTCACTATTTCAGGACAATTAAACAATTACGGATTTAATGTCCTAATTGACAATAGGTTACCAAATCAATTAATTATCCGGATCCAAGACAGTCAATTAATTAAATAACCATAAGCATAACAATCAAGGAATATGCGAATACCAATAAATAAAAGGAAAAAATTAAATTAAATCGATCTCACAACTTTTATGCGAACCAGAGCCTTCGTTGCTCTTTGACTAGAGTGGTGAAACTAGTTCATGTTCGATGAACAAAGCCCATATAAAATTGAAGAGGAAGCCGCGGCCATCAGTTGGGAAATGCACAAATTCAATTCGGTCAAAGGAATAAAGCAAAGCAAAGTTGCAGAGTGTGATACAATGTCTTCCTAATTGCTCCTGCCATCCGCAAGAGAACTCCACTAGCAAGAAACTAAGGAAAAGTCAACAATTCAAAAGGCTAAGCTAGTGCTCCATGCGTAAGAGAAGCCAAAAGAAATCCTTATCAAAAGTCTAAAAGGAAAAATCTGATGCTAAGCTAAAAAACTCTCCTTTTCTTCTGCACAATTTTCCTCCATAAAGTTTGCTCCTTGCGGCGGCTCCTAGGGAAAAGAACCCTTCGGCCAAAATGACCGAAAAGGGCTTGTGTCCCTTTTTCCAAAAATGCCCTTGCAAGCCTTCTATTTAATTTCTTTCCCGATGACTGTCAAAGGAGCATTGATTGTGGTAGTTTTGATCTACTCCCTGAAATAAATACAAATTACGAAAAGTGAGTAGAATCCAGCAATTAATCCACATCAAGTCAGGTAATACGAGAAATTAATAATAAAATAAATGATAAAATTACACGCTATCAATATCTGCTTTTGCAAGTATACCAATCATACCTATGGTTACCCCATACCTACTAACGTGATATGAAACTAACTATAGATTTATTACATTCTATAAAATTATATGGAACAAACCACCAAATCCACAAATGTGCAACTCTATATTAGTGACTTAACTCTCTAGATTTAACACTTCCATAAACTAGTATTGAATCATAATTTACATTGATGAAATAACACCTTTATATTATCACAACTAATGACCAATTAATCATGATTAAAATAGCAAAAGTGCTGAATAACTTACACAAGAATAAGCTTAGATGACCATGAAAAACTTTACATAACAATTATAGAAGTTTATCCATCCTCGATGTATAACAACTAGCAAAACATAAATGAAATACAAACAAGAACCAAACTTGTATATTTACTAAATATAAGAATCAATACAAGAAATAAGTGATAGAAAAGATGTCACCCTTATCACTTGATCTCCGAGGTCTCCATCTCCGTCCTCAACTTCATCTTTGTTTAGCTACAATACGAGATGGATAAACTACACTAATCTATACTAAACTAATGAATTAAGGAGAACTAGTGAAAGTTACATTTTTGTGATAGTTCTTAGCCATTCAAAGTTGTAAGAAATGTTCTCCAAGGCCTCTATTATAGAAGATTAAAACTTCAATCAATCATGTTAAAGTTGATGAAGTTAGCTTTTGGGAATGCCAAAAGTTGATTCTTGAAATCTCTATGATTTTTTGGGCAATTCCCACCAATGTTCTTTCGTAAAAAGTTGCCAAAAAGTTTGTGCAAACAAGCCCCAAGTTCTTGCAACTTGTAGAGTTAGGATCTATAAGGCAGGAAATGCAAGCCTAGCTTAGGTATCCGAGCCACGTATCCACATATTTGTAGGTTTTGTACTTTTTGATCAATCCTCGATTTTGCTCTATTTTCATACCAATTTGAACTACAAATTTCTCAATGATGAAAGCTAAACTAATTCTTGCACAAAACATAAAAGTGGTAACCCTTTAAGTTAGCTTTTCAATGTATTAAGAATCATGTCATTAGGAGCTCTATATGCTGCGAAATAATAGAAATACCCCTAATTGATCAAAACTCTATTTTAGATTTAACAGCAAAAATGCACTTTTGTATTTTTGCTTATTGACCAAGATTGGATTTTGATATCTTCATAAGATATGTCTTAACTTCAAAATGAATAAAAAATCACTTCAATCCAATGCTTGTACCTCGAGTTATAGCTGAAATACTAGAACTAGTCAGGGTTGCCAAACTTTTCTTCTTTGAACTTGATTGGATTTCATCCTTTGAATATTTTACACTTCATGTTTACTTGAAATCAATGCAAATCATCAAGAATCATCCAAATATCTTCTCACTTCACTCCAATTGATGATTGAATTATTAAAATCTGCAAAATATGAAGTCTTAATCACTTAAATTCATAGAAATGCACTTTTTCTCACTTTAACTACAAAATGCAAACTCCGCTAGATGCCTAGTTATTTAGCTATCGACGGGGTTTTTAATATACTTACAAGTTAAAAAATCCAAAATACACCCATTTCACTGCAAGTATACAGGTCAACAAGTAGTTTAAGGTATATATCGGGTCGATCCCATGAGAAAGACTGAACAATTACCGGTACCACTAAACCTTCTCTATTATTTAGACTATCAATGAATTATAATAAATGAAACCTACTAAACTTATACAAAATAAGAAATGAAGGCTCCTTAGGTTATGATATCCCTAACTACTCACGCAAGTGCTATATTTGGATCATTGAATACTACTATCTAGGCTAGTTATGGTGTAATTTCCTTATGCATATGAATCCTACTTTCATAGTGAATCAATTATACTCATAACTAATCCGTACCTATTCTCATGGTTATGAAATTAGCTACAAGTTCATTTCTTCAATGAAATTACATGAAATTAATCACCAAATCACATAGGTGCACCTCTACTTTTGTGAGTGTACTCCCTATGTTTAGCACTTCTTGAACCAGTGTTAAATCTCAATTTTCATTACAGAAACAATACCTTAGATAATCACAATCAATGGTACCAGATTAATCATGATTTAAAGAGCTAAAGTGCCAAATAACTTGCTCAAATAATAGTAATCAAATAGCCAAATAATAAACACTAACAATCATAAGAAGTTCAACCAAACCCAAGGCATAAACTTTAAAGATACATAATAAACACAAAATCCAGAACTTGCATATTAACTAAACTTGGAATCAAGTACAAAAGATAAAGAGTTGGAGAAGAGATAACCCATATCACTTGAGCTTCAACTCCTCCTTCTTCATCTCCATCTTCATCATAATCTAGCTAATATACAAGAAGGATGAACTAACTAACTAAACTATCCTACACTAAGGAAATGGAAGAACTACATTTCTGCAGACTCCAAACTTCTCCAGTATGATAATGTCAAACCTCCCAAATGTCTCTGCATATAAACTGATGAAAATCTCCTCTCCTCACCAGTCCAAATTTTCTGCTATGATTCTCCAAATCTACTTTTATTAAGATAGTAAAAAACAAAGGTTTTTGACTTGAAAATAAGCCATATTGTCTGCCATTTTGTCTTCTGAAGCATGTGCAGTGAATTCCCTTGCAACTTATAGCTGGAAAGTAGTCTGAACACAAGAGAAATGGCTGAGCAAATTGCAGAATTTCAGCTACAAAATGTGCCTACACAAAACACGGCTTGGAGCCGCGTTTTGTCAACTCGTGTTTTCAATTCTGTGAAATTGGCCTCGTTTCAACTGCAATTTTCTCTATGATGGAGGCCGAACTAGTTTTTGTGCAAAACATAAAAGTTGTAGCTTTTGAATTAGCTTTAAAATGCATCAACAATCACCTCATTTGGATCTGTGTAGGCTGAGAAATTACCGAAATACCTTTGACTACTCATTACCCTGTTTTAGCTTCGACCAATAGAAATTGGCTACTGTAATTTGGCTTTTTGACTTGGAAAACCTTCAAACTGGATTCAGATGTCCTCACTAAAGTTGTAGATCTATCTCTTATCTTCAAATTGGTTCAAGAATCATCTCAATCCGATACTGTATCTCAAGTTATAGCCGAAATACGAAAATGTGTCAAAACTGTCAAAATGCACAAAATCCAAGTAAAATGTGATAAAAACCTCATTTAACCACTAAAAAACTTTCACCAATTATAGCCAAAATGATTCATTTTCTTCCAATCATATAACCAAAGTGACTAGAAATAATATAAAATGTTATACAATTATTACGTAAATTAGTCACTTATTACTATCAAATGACTAAAATACACCAAAAACTAAGTAATAAACCGCATTAAAAATATGTAAAATAAACACTTATCACAGCATAAAAATGCTACTCCAATGATTTTGCAGCCTACCTCCTTAAGATAGAGTTTTTGAACTCCACCCTAAATTTATTCTTAACAGAATCAATGATGACTTGGCAATCAGTTAGTCTTAATCAAGTACTAATAAGTGGTAAACCTAGGTATTGAGGAGGAAACATACCTTTTTGCATTCCCATAATTACATAGATATCATGCTTCAATCGTGGACTGATACCAAATGAGTTGCTTATCTTGCCCTTAATGTTTTGGACCTATGATGAGTTCAAACATTTTCAAGGAAAAATATGGCTCGAAATGTCTTTAAAGACAAAAAGATGCATTTTTATTTGTATGGAGACAATATGTTGCATTTTAAATGTAGGGAGACAAAAAAATTACAAAAGTAAAATTTGAGAGACCATTGATATCATTTTCCCTATTAAAGATGCATGGAGCTTTAGCCTTTCGCATATGCTATAAAAGATAGGGTGAATTACACTAACATTCTCTCAAGTTTTAGCAAAATTTAGGGTTCTCCCGTCTTGATTTTAAAAAACATGAACCTCCCCTGTCATTTATTTAGAAACATAAGAAACTTTCCTTTAAGTAGTTTTGTAACAAATTTACTTCAATATACCCATAATGCTTTTATAATGGATAAGTAATTATTAATGATATTTAAGTAAGCCTACCAAAAAAAAAAGAATAGGATGTGTTATAATTTCTTTTTATCAAAATTTATGGTCAAAAAAATTGATGACACTTAATGTATTTACAGTTATAAAGGCCCTCAGTCAATTTTATCTTTTATTTTTTTCAGTAAGTGCTTGTATTTTTAAAATATTTAAATTAGCTTTTTTCTTTCTCTGCATGAATTTAGCATTTAGTTGATGTCTTGATTCTATTAGCATATATTCAAGTATATATAAGTTGAGATTTCACTGAATTAATGGATTTGACTTGTGCATGGATTGGACACACCTCACTTTCATTTTATTCTATTTTATTTTAGGAATAAATACATATATATACCTCTATATTTGGATTGACAAAATTATGAAGCCAATGAAATGAATGATATTGGTCTTCAATTGTTATAAATAAATCTCTCCATTCTACTTTTCTATGAATAAATAACATAGAAGAGAATTCAAACATTTAATTTTAAAAACTCCTTTTTTCTTTAATACAAAGAGCATGAATAAGAAAAGAAAAAGGTAAAACCGTAAAGTCAAAACTATCAAAAATTCTAATTGGGAAGTCAATGTTATTTTGAAATAAACAAGAGAGGGATTTTAGTGCTAAAAAAGGTCTCTTAGTTCTGCAAAAACTATTAGTATAATTTACCCTAAAAGATATTATTGTTTTTGTAATGCAAATGCTTCAGAACTATATTGCATATATACTAAGATTTGCAAAGTTTGACATGTTAATCAACTCAGAATGAAAATAATCAATGTCACTCCAAAGTCCAAATTAATTGATCATAATATTTGGACATATTCATGAATGCAGGACAAGGACATGAACCTTATCCTCTTCACAATGCTGCAAAGTGTCTTAAGATACAAGAGTGACTAGACTAAGTGCATTTGGTATATCTCTATTTTCTTCATCGATAATTTCAGAAACTGCTCTTGAGATTTGTGACAATATCATTTGATACCTCTGAACTTTGAGAAATCTCATCGATCTCCCTTATTTTCAAATTTTTATAACTTTATCAACTCATTTCAAAATATATAATTGAAAAACTCATTTTGGGAGAGATAAAATATTTCTATTCCAAAATTTCCCTTTTCTTGTGGACCTTATATTTTTATAACAAACCAAGTTAAATCCTTAAGAATTACAACATATTAATGAGCATGAAAGACATTTTGCAATTTTTGGAGTCATTAGTCTAGACAAAAAATGCAAAAGAAAATTTGTTATAATTAGAAAATATAGCATTCTTGAAAATTCCTCAAATGAGTTTCTAAATATATTATTAATAATTAACCTTTCTCTTGCTTTCAAACCATTGATTTGGATAAAGTGTTAGAACATTTAAAAAAATTAAACTATTTATAAAATTCTAAGTTCATCCAAAAATATTTTGCAATAAAGAAAGTTACTTTTATTTTTTTGAAAACACGTCAAATGAGTTTGTAAACATAATTTTAGATGTAGTATCTGTTTTTAATATTCAAATCATCAGTCTATATAGAAAAATTTAGAAAGTTCACATTTTTAAATTTGTAAAACTCCTCAAATTAATGAAAACACCTCGTAGTCAATGAAATAATTTTTGTTGACTTGAAGCACCTTAAACATACTCTTGAATTGTAGTCGTTTGTACATTAAAAACAACTACTCATATAATTTATTCTATTATAAATATGTTTTCATAATATTTGTCTTATATTCCAACTTTTAGTAATTTATTTTCACTTTTGGAAAAATGGTAGGCTAACACAAGGGCAATTTGGCATGAAAATGCATCCTTTCTATAAATATTAGTTTCTTAAGAACAATTTTTCTTTGAAATGGATTAATAATGTTACAAAAAGTTGAAAATAAGGGAGGTCTGTGAGATTTCTCAAAGTTTAGGTGTACCAAGTGATATTGCCACTTTCTTTAGCAAATCATCTCTTCAAAGCCCAACTACATCGTTGACCGATGCCACGACCCCTTTGACCGCAATTTTGCACAGAATTACCTATAAGTAGAGATCAATCTTCATGAGCTTTCTCATCCTTCACAAAATCAGTTTCCTTGCGCAAAAATGGGTTCGAAGACACTTCTTTTCTATTGCATTTCCTTGACTATAGTGTTAATGATTACCTCAGAGGTGGCTGCTGGGGAATTGGCTGTGTCATCCACGCCAGTTGACAATTGCAATTTCGTCCTTTTATTTTAGGACCACAAATTTCACCTTTCAAACCATGTGCTCCCTTTATCCCAAATTATTTATCACATTAATATAAAACAAACGTAAAGATAGGGATGATATTTAAAAAAATCAAAGTTAATTTTGATTTTGATAAGATGACAAACATTTAGGGGACATTTCAAAATAGAAAACATGACACTGTAAATTGGGCTAAGGGAGTACTATTTTTGTTGTATATTGAAAGCGTTAGAGTATTACGAAACATAGCTGAGACCTTCTTTGCTGTTTAAATTCACCTTAATTTGTCAAGGCGTACGTTTAACTGTTTAAGTATAGAAGCCTCCCTGACTTGGGGCTTGGGGTATCGCGGTTAATCATCGATTGCTGGCTATAATAAAATTACCTATTAGTTCGCAGTGTTTAACCATTTTATTGGTATATGTAAGGATACTAAATATGCATGGCACATACTTTGAAAGACAAACTCTTGATCGAGTATGAAATCATTATAGATTTTGCTCCTCATACCCTGGTTAGTCTATGGAGGTTGAGCCTCGGAACTATTGAAGCCAGCTTCTAGCACCGTCACGAATGTTTAAACTACTACAAATAAGATCTTGAGAAGTGATGTAATATCCACAGTATGTACTTGCTAGTTTGGTATTTCAATTAGGTGAATGTGTGATTGTGTGTCTCTTTTATGAGCACTTTTAGTGTCACGGCAAAACAATCTCATGCCAAAACAATCCCTGAAGTTTCTCTTAATATCACTTGACATCTCTAAAGTTTCAAAAATATCACTTACCTACCTTATTTTTATTATTTGTTTAACAAAATTTTTAAAAACCCTAAATTAACCTTTCACTTCAAGAAAACCATCACGTCAAAAACAATCTCTTATTATACTACTACATCACAACGCCATACCTCATAAAAAATAAAAATAAAAAAGATATTTGAAAAGAAATACACTTGTATCAATTTAATTCTATATGCTCAAAACTGATTTCTTATGAATTTATATTTTTTTAACAACTTCTCAACCATTACTCAAATCATTAAACTGTGGCAATCATTATAAAAATCAACTCAAAATAAGAAAATAAATCATACTTCACTTTATCACAATCACAAAAAGTAAAAAGCAAACAAAATTTAATTTATTATATTTACAAATCAAATATTGCATAGTTATCCAAAAAATATGAGTAAGAGAGAATGATGGAGAAAAGGGAATAAGAAGAACATGACTTTTGTTTCTTTTTTTTTTTCATTTTTGAGCTCCATTTATTTGATATGTTGTGAATTATGTGTCAAATGAGGATTAATATAGTCTTTTTATAATTATTAGGGGAGGTAAGTGATATTTCCAAAACCTCAAACCTCAAGAGTGCTAAGTGATATTAAGAGAAACCTCAAGGGGTTTCTGATATTATCCCTAAAATCTATTAAAACATGAAACCCAATTCCTCTTTCTCAGTCGTGGCTTTTCTGTTTATTTGCAAGCTTTCATTGAAATCTCCCTCACAAACCCCCCACCCGCAGCACACAGCCACAAACACACATTCTTGTGTTTATCGTCTTCATATCTTCCGTGTTTTTTCTTTATCTTTTCTCTTACTGGATCTAAGAGCCTTCAACGATTTAGCAGCCATGAGTGGCTTTGTGACATTAATCGAGTCTTGGAGAAGGAGAACACAGTGATGAGCTCACCCATGGCCGTCTTTTCTCGATCGATCGGTGGAGGACGAAATCAGGGAAAAAGAACCAAAAAGAATTGGCAAAAGCCATAAAAAAAAAAAAAGACCAGATACGTTGCGTCTTGCGATTTGCGAAGTGATTCAGAAGATGTAGGCTTCGTTTGGGTAGTCAAAGGAAAGTCAAAGCAGAAGGAGGCAAAAAAAACCCGAAAACAAAAAGAAAAACCCGGAAATTTACCCTTTTTCGGTGTCCAATTCAAAATCGATTTGGTCGACTCTTAGATAAAAGGATTTTTACTATCACTCGAACCGGATACATGTCCAATTCCTGTTCAACCGGTTGGACGGCCAATCTAAGTTCGTGGCTTAGCTATCATCAAAGTGGTGTTTTTAAAAAAAAAAAAAAAAAATTCAATTTTGGGTATACATAATTAACTAATCTAATCCAGATATCTGTGATAATAGATTTTGAAGACTCATTTTCTATCCAGTTAGTTATAGGTTTAATTAAAAATAGATTAAAAAAACCCTTACCTCGATCCCCTTTTTGTCAAATATAGTATACAAGCTGAAAAGAAATGATAAAACCAAATAATCTAGCCATACAAGAAATCATGTCAAAAGCTCGTAAAAAATCTAATTGTAGTATGTCATTTCTAATATCTGTCACCAATATCAGTCACATGACTAATCTAATTTCATGAACTTTAATAGCACAGTTTACTAAATACATCCAAAGGACATAACTTTTCTCTTTGCTTGAATAATTTGGGTTAAAAGTGTTAATTTTTTCAAGAATATTTTGTTACTAATAAAAAAATTATTTTGTTAATCTAATGAATTTAGGTTTTTTTTGGTCAAAATAACGAGTTTAGGTTAATTGAATAATAAAATTAGGTAGTAAATTCATTTGTGAATTTATAGTTTAGACAATGAAGCATGTGAATTTATTTGTGAATCCAGGCAGAACAACTGGCTGTTGAAACTCGAAACTCACATAAGATTTTACTTTCACGTCGTTGAAGTAGAAAAAAGTACATCATACCCGGGGTATCCACCATATCCACCGCCGGCCACGGTACTTGGATTCTTCCGGGCCATTAGTACTCTTCTTTGCTGCATTGGCTGCAAATGATCACGGGCTCATGCAGAATTATCTAGTTACTGCATGCATCGTAGTAAATTTTTTCCTTAAAAAAAGGAAGAAGGAAAAAAAAATTGCCTATAGTAATTCATGTTGTGCCAAAAAGTCTATATTTTGTAGGTATAAAATTGTTGAAAAAGGAAAGAATAAGTCCCTGAATAAATAGCTTACTATTTTCGGCCAAATCCGTGGCTGTCACCTCCGAGGCAATCATCAGAACTACAGCCAAAAGGCATAGGAAGAGAATTGCGTCGGAACCCATTTTTGTTTTCCTCACACAACTTGGTTTATGAACTCAAGATTTGGTATTAAAAACATTGACAAGGATGAGAAAGCTGCAGCATCTCTTCTCTTTTTATAGGGAAATTTACTTGACACGGTTCTCGAAGAGGGAAAGGTAAAAATACGCATGGAAATGTGTTGACCCCATGATTTAGATGTAGTTGAAGATATTTATGACGGCAATATGTGATAGAATATCCAACATAGACAGAGTCAAACATTTTACTTTGAGGGCAAAGGATCTATCACTCAAAATTAAGCGGTGATCACACTCTATTGCTCAAAATTAGGTCATGTTCCTAGGGTAACAAAATGGTCTGTTTCTACTGAGCATTTAGTGCAGGTATATATACAATGACATCTATATAATAGATCTAATTATGAAAGATGAGAACTGAGAATAATGCAAGTTGGAAATGGAAGGCAAGGACCACTGAATTTGGAGTCACACTGATCTTAACTAGTAATTGGCTACAAGGAAAATATGTGGTCTAATATGGATAAATTGTCTGTTCATATCATCTCATAATTTCATCTGTATGCCCATTTGAAAGTTGAAACAGTCAAATGGTCCCCAAAGTCAACCTTAGCCAAGGCAGGAAACCTTTGAAAACCAAGCTACTTATATCACATTCCTATATATCTAGAAATTTAACACAAAGAAATGTTTAACAGAGCAATAATGATTATGCGACTAAAGTTTGTACGAATGAGACAAGTATGTCCAATTCAATATGCCCATAAACTCATAAAAAGAAAAAGAAAAAACCAAATTACCCGAGTATATTAACTAAGATTTGGGGGGGGGGGGGAGGGATAGAGGTGCAGGGCCACAAGGAGAGGATAAGGGAGCAGGAAAGGTAGCAAATACTAAACACTTGTACGTGTGAAGGTAAGTGGAGTGCGTTGGGTAATAGATGGAAAAAGAATAGGGGAAAGAGAAACAGGGGGACATTTTGACAATTTGATCGTGAGAGTAAAGGAAAGAGTGGGTAAGGGTGATTATTTTCATTTTTTACTTTTCATTTCCATTTGTGGGAATATGTGTGCAAATATAATGGGGGTATAAGAGTACTTTTGAATATTAAAGAGAGGTATGTATAATATTAAATATTAGAAGGGAGGATCTTGAAATTGTCGAAACACTTTAAGGGAGGTTTTGAAAATTAACCCTCGATTTAATCTCTTGCAAGTCGAAGAAGACATCCTTTTTTAAAAAAAAAAATTTATCTAAAATTTTTTTATGCATGATACCAGTTGAAGAACAAGTCAATGGAATCTACAAACAGTTTTGGGGGTAGGGCAACTTTGTACCCAGTACCGACATTGTATTTGTCAAACATTGTGGCAATTAGCATCATTAGTTAGATATGCAAATTTTAGCTACATAAATAGGGATAATTTTGGAAATCTCCCTTGAGATTTTGTCTAATATCACTTAGCATCCTAAAGTTGTTTTGAAAAATATCATTGGCCTCTCTTAAAATCTTTTGAAACAAACTCACCCTACATGATAAAATTATTCTTAAAATGATCATTTAAAGAAAGAAATCTATTTTTGTCCCAAATTTACCCATTTGTGTTGTCCTATCTTGAATGTTTTACCAAAATGATTTCTAACATTTATTTGCATGGGAGAACTGAAAAAGATTTGAAGGGAGTGTTGTATGCAATAATAATTGATACAATAATATTTTCTTCTATTTTTGGCATTTTCTAGATTTTTTTTACTTCCATAATTGTTAGAATAACAGAAGAAACTTAATTAAAGATTAGCATGCGAAAACAAAAAATGTTGTGAAGAGATACATTTGCATTCAACAATTATTAGATGAGCCATTTTACTTTTATAGATTTAGATTTATTATCTTCTTTTTTTTCCATATATAATGGTTAGAATAATAAGGATAATTTGATATAAAGTTGACATAGGAAAACTAATAGTCGAGAGCGGGTGTTTAGGGACATAATCACAATTAGAATCACCAAATCTTATAGAATTTATTTTTGAAATTTTTTTCGATAATTTTTTAAATAACAAGAGTAAATATAGGATTTGTATAAAAAGACAAAAGTAGGGGAAGAGGAATATTAAGCATTTTCACTGCCAACTTTTTTTTGCCTATGTAAATTTTAGTTTAGTAATGGTGATTTAATATAAAGTTCACATAGAGGGTTTAGAAATTGGAAGAATAAGGGTGCTTAAATTCAAATATAATTGTTTGAGTAGTTATTGCCTTTGTAGACTTAGATTTTTTTTTGTTCTATATGTTATTTGCTTAAATGATTATTATACTATCAAAACTAAATTGATTAATAACCGGTTATTCATAAATTGATTAAATATCTAAAATGTTTTAAGTGCAAAAATGAAAAGGATAGGCAAAGAATGGGATTCACAAGCGTGTAAAGAAATTATTTTTCTTTTCTTTTTGTAAGTGTGTAAAAAAATTCTTACTCAGTTTATTTTATGAAGTAATAACAACAACTGGGGAAAACTTTAAGGATAGAGAAAGACTGGGCATTCAAAAGTAATTTTAAATTAATCATGTTGAATGTTGATACTTTATTTTAAGTTTCCTATATATATATATATATATATATATATATATATATATGTAAAAACGAGTTTGTAGGTGACTGTTGGAAAATTTTTCATATGCCAACTTTGGGGATAATTTAGGTAGGGAAAAAATCAAATGCAAGTGATTAAGCCAAATGTGCAACGTTATAATGTATAGTTGAGTTGGGTTTGACTATTGTATCCTCCCATTTGCAATTGACATACATTCCACGTGATTTTTTTTTTTTTTTTTTTTTTTTTTTTTTTTTTTTAGGAAAATTGTACGAAGAACAGCTTTACTTATAAGACGAGATACAAAAACAACCACAATCCGAGACTAATAAAGCAAAACCATTCTCCTCGGAACTTCGTGGTGACTACATAGGTACTAGCTGCTTAACATTAAATACGACAGCAGAACGACAGCAGAACGACAGCCCATAAAAAAACATGGAGATTTCTAACATCTAATGGCTAAAAGGACGCAAAAGTGTGAGCCATTTTGGTGGAGACGACGGTCAGCGAGTATTTTCCTCGCGGCTTTTTCTGACTGCGCTTTGGTACTTTTCCCAAATCACCTCATCATCCATCCTGTCCAGATGGCGTCTTAGAGACGCAGCTGTTATTACAGTGACAACACTTAACGCAGCACCAACACCCACAGCTACCAACTTATGGAAGGTACTCATGGATCCTGGCGTTAGAACTCAAAAGTAACAATAACCTGGACGGAGTATCTGGGAACGGAATTAGGGCTCCAACTCACTAAGGCGGAACGACGATTTCTCTGCATACATTACATTCCACGTGATTATCAAGCTTTTAAGTGGTGTTTAAACCACTTACAAATGTAATTGCAATGCTTTTCATCTTCTTTTATAATTGCTGGGTAACTTTTATAGCTACAATAATAGAGTGTCTTAATGGTAAAGATGATTGGTTCAGGAAGCACTTAATAATGAGCATGATTGGTTTTGGTTCATATTTCCAATCCGTTACAAGTATAATTGTAGTGTTCTTCAGCTTGGCAATAATGGAGGCTTTTAATACTAAAGAATGTTGGTTCAAGTGTTTGTGCTCAATCTTTTGTTGTGGGTGTTTGGACAGGAATGCTCATTTACTTTCTCTTTTTCTCGAGTTTTGGATGTTTAACTAATACAATAAAATTTATGAGTTTTCTACTGCAATAGTTTCTCAATAGCTATTGTATGAATATGGAAATTTTGTTATGGAATACATGATACATGCATATGAATATTCGTAGGAACCTTCTTACATTTTCTAACTATATTTCCAAAAACTGATGTTTGTGGCTGTAGGTGGTTAAACTACGACTAAAGATTATCCATTGACTGCAATTTCATGACCAAGGTAGGATCTAAATCTGACATTATAGTTGATACATGTTGTTGTTGATTGGATATGGCTATGATTGTGTTATAATGGTCTAGTAACAAAGGTAATGATGTTTTTGCTATTGTTGTTGTGATATAGTGTGATTATTTACTACAATCCTATTTCTTTTACTTATAAATTTATTTTCCTTTATAAATTTGTTGATTTGGCCAATTTACTTATAATTTCATGCACTTCAATTGATTCAATTAAACCAATTACCAGACAATTCTAATTCTACTAACTTTTTTATAAATTTATTTGAATAAATATTTTATCACATAGGTTAAAACTCCCGTGCTTAGCATGGGCTTCCCCCTGGTTAACTTATTGGAAAATCAGAATTCCGATCTACTTAAATTGATTTTCACACTCATTACTCTAAAGTATTAAAAATAAATAGGAGGGATTGCACTGGTTAGCAATAGACTTGAAGACGCCATTGATGATATATTTGATATTCCTAACAATATTAACCCAAAAAACTGTGATGGTGCCTTTTTTTTCTCGTCATTAGTGGTTGTGAGAATAATAACTCTTTGATGAAAATTATTGTCTAGTGCCAAATATACATGATTTCATGCAAAATAAGCCTAAAGCAATAAAAAAAAGATATAAATTTCTTGTGTCAAATTGTAAATTTGTAGTAATATTAATATTTAAAATATGGTATTAGGCAAAATGGCCAGTAATAATGCCGCATCACTCTTTTCACCATTCTTTAAAAAGGGAGAAATGCAATTTTGATTCCCAACATTTGGTTTGTATGTCAAATTGGTCCTAATGTTTGAATCAAAACAAATATGGTCTTCAAAGTTTCTAATTTTAAGCAAATTTAGGATAATTGATAGAAATTTAACCATTCCTAATGGTCAAAATCAAATTTCTATTTTTCAATTATTTTGACTTTGCATTTTTAATCCTTAAAGTTTAGAATTCAAATCATTATAGCCCTTTAAGTTTCAAATAGTGATTTTGAGGGTTTGAAATGATACTAGACATGAATTGAGTTGAAATTGTGTTTTATGTACTAGAAAACTAATTATAAAAAAATATGAAAAGCTAA